ACGGTAAGTTAACTTCGATATAATAGTTTAATCAAACGTGATACTTTACATAACTTGATTTTATTATTAAACCTCACATTACAAAATGTATCACTTAAACAAAATGTAATATGATATGTATTTCGTAATGAATAATACATTAAATAAAACTTAAGGAGGGATAGTCATTTATTAAGTATCAACGAAAAATATATTTTTACATAACACTGTCTTATAAAAGTTACGTAAATTACAAATACATTACACAAAACTTATGAATAAATAGTTAATTCTTATGTATCAAAAAAATTATTCTATTATTAGGCCACATATATCAGTTTACACTACCCAAAGAGTCCGTACGGTAAGTTAACGTCGATATAATAGTTTAATCAAACGTGATGTTTTTCATAACTTGATTTTATTATTAAACCACACATTACAAAATACTTCTTATGTATCACTTAAACAAAAGGTCATACTATATGTATTTAGTAATGATTAAGACATTACATAAAACTTATGGAGGGATAGTCATTTATTATGTATAATTGAAAAATATATTACCGGATATTTACATAACACTGTGTTATAAAAGTTACGTAAATTACAAATACATTACACAAAACTTATGGATAAATAGTTAATTCTTATGTATCATTTACAGAAAACGGTATACGATACGTCTTTCATAATGATTAAGACATTACGTATAACTTACAATTGAATAGTCATTTCTTATGTATAGATTGAAAGTTATAAATTACGCAAGTCTAATACTTTTTGTAACTTAAGTCTTCTGTAATATAAGTTTTATTGAGAAAAAAATATTATTTACCAAACTTATCATCAAATTGCATTACACCAAAGTTCTATAAGATTAGTTATTTTTCACATAACAATTTAAAATGCGTTACTTTTTATAACTTAATTCTTTTATTATTAATTAAAATTTCTTTACTATTAACTAAAATATTAATTTCCATTAAAAAGGGTTGCATAAGATGATTAACTTTTAGATAATAGTTTAATGCGATGTGATATTTTTTATAACTTAATTTTATTATTAGACCACACATTACGAAAATTTTATATAACATCATTCAATAACAGCTACGTTAATGTGATACATTAGGTAAATATTTTAGAGGAATGATTATTTCTTATGCAATTGAACAAGCCTATTGCATAACTAGCTTTTTACCCGGCCCGTTGGCCGGAGAGATTTATTTTCTAATTTATATTAATTAACTTATTTATATGTTTAAATCATTTTGGATCATCTAAATATTTTGTGTTCTTGATTCATAAAAGAGTTTGTAGTATGTTTATATTGAAAATTTCCAATATTTAGCACACTCACTTCTGATGCTTCAGTTTTCTAATCATAAATTATGTCGCTGTCACGTCCCATTTATAACTTATGTCAAAATTTGTCAACCAAAACACTAATATTTAGCGTACGCCAACCTGAACCACACACATACACTACCATACGACCATTGAGTTTTACTATTTAGACTTCAGAGTTTTTTGGGGCATGATACTATACCCTAACCTCTAATAGGTGAACTCTAATCCCTAATTCTCTAACCTCTAATTTATGCAAATACTTTGTCATACCTATCTTCTATCGTATCTTGAGTAAAATGCAAAGATAGTATACCTTGGTATTGTGTGTGTGTGTGTGTGTGTGTGTGTGTGTGTGTGTGTGTGTGTGTGTGTGTGTGTGTGTGTGTGTGTGTGTGTGTGTGTGTGTGTGTGTGTGTGTGTGTGTGTGTGTGTGTGTGTGTGTGTGTGTGTGTGTGTGTGTGTGTGTGTGTGTGTTAGACTCAAAATTATCCAGATAGTTTGCCAGACCTATCTTATCTTGCCTAATACTCATATTAAAAGTGCTACTCGCCTATCCCCCACCCTCGAGATAGAGATCCCGCTTTTACCCCATAACGTCAGACAACCATTGAGGTTGTCTATCATTTGATATGTAATATATAAAGAGGGAAATTCTAAGATTATGCTATTTATTTCTTATCCTCTCCCACCGTCCCCCTTTATGGAGAATAATAGGGTAGGGATGAAAGGATCATAGCTCGATATGTTTTTATTCTGTTCATCGTATCGGAGGTTATGTTCTTTTTTTATTTTTTGGCTTCTTTTCATTCTTCTTTGACACCTATGGTTGTGATCAGAGGTATTAAGCCCCCGAAAGGGGTTGAGATTTTAGGTCCTTTGGAAATCCAATACACATTCATGATCCTCAAGTTTGGATGAACTCTTAACCAATGTTGTAAAGATTAGGACTTTTTAGAGAGACATTCTTAGTAAAGATACTTCATTATAGGATCAATTTATTCATCCATATTGAAACTTGACACACACCGTAGCCCTCGTGATGATTAAATTCTATAATCTCGACTCATTTCCATTTTGGATGTTAGTTTTTTTTATCAAGACACTTAAATTTAGTATATTATAGAATATGTATCAATTGTTAATTTTTGAAGTTCAAACCGTGGTCATTGTTTATATGTTGGCTTAGAATCTCAATCTAAAACACTCGCACACATTATCGAGGATTTTGGTCTTAACATGGTCGTTGAATGTGTAATTTTCAAAGATTTTATCACTTATATATTAATATTTGATAAAGAGTGTCTACAATACACACATTTTTCAAGTGCATTTAAAATGTCTTATCATTTGAACAATATCGGTGGATTTCATTTGATTATTTCCATTAACTTATTATCTATACAACATATATCAATTCGTGTTTCTCGAGTTTGGACAAACTGGCAACCAATTTTGAGAGTTGAGATTCCTAGATAAAGATACTTGATTGTTGGATAAATATGTTTATCCCAATTTACTATTTTACTAAAAATTGCCAACCTTTATTTGCTAAATGTCTAGGTTAGTAGTTGATGAAACGCGATGTTTATCGTAGATTCTCAACAAAGATTCTCTAACATTCCTTATGTTTTTTCAAGGAATCTTGTGTCTCATCCTAGGGTATGAAGTCAAAGTTCGTCAACAATCATACTTAAGTCATTTTGAAATTTTTTATTTATAATAGTTGACGATAAGTCCAAGTCTGAAAGAAAAATTTCTTAGCATACGACTTAAGACCTCAATAGAGCTTGCTCAATCAACATGATATAAAACAAATAGTATTAATGTGAACTTAGGACACATTATAAAATTATTGCACATGCGATTTCTCTTCATTTGAGGAGTTTAAGGTAGAACATGATGTGAGGAATAAGAAGTCTTTTTTAAATAAATAACTATAACTACTCGATCAAGATTATACTCTGACAATTTGCTAAATAATACTTATTTTATTTTATAGACATATAATTTACGAATAAGAGAGTGTTTCATTGCAACAAAATATAAAATAATATAGTTTATTTTTCATAGGTAATTGAATGTCAAATGTTTATTTTCTCTCTTTTCATAAAATTTTTTTAATCGAAAAAAAGTTATTGTTTATGTGTATGTTTGTCTAATTTCCATAAAAATATAACTTATCATTCAATTTTAGTAAAAATGAGTAAAAAATTACTTCATAAGGTTTAATACATACTAAATTAAACCGGTTCGACCGGCCGGTCGAACCGGTAAAACCGGATTTCGGTGCCTGACCGGTACGACAGACGGACTGTGGGGAAAGAGCCGTTTCGGTCGGTTTTACCGGCACAACCGGCTCAACTCAAAAAACCGCCCGGTTTTGGTCTAACCGGGGGTGAGCTGATATAGTGGAAACGGCGTCGTTTTGCATTAAGGGAAGGAAAAAAAAAAAATTAATCGGCCGAAGCCTAAAACCAAAACCCTAAATCATCTCTTCGACCTTCGTTTGTTGCCGCTGCCGCTACGATTCCTCTTCTTTTCGAGGACGAGAAGGTAGGGGTGGGCGTTCGGTCGGTTCGGTTTAAACCGAACCGAATTAGTATATGCCGAATTTCCGAATTAGTCTGCACCCCAACCGAATTCGAACCGAGCTATAACTCGGTTCGGTTTGACCGAACCGAGTTATATTTCTGTTCGGTTTGACCGAACCGAGTTATATTTCGGTTCGGGTTACATACCTATCCCGAACTTCCAGACCCCTCCCTCAAATCTCTCTCTGCCATTAATCCGCCTCCCACTCCCACTTTCCTCTGCCTGTCAAACTACTCCCTCCATCTCCCTCTGCTACTTTCCCTCAAATCTTGCTACCATTAATCCTCCTCCCACCTCCTCCTCTTCCTCCTCTACTCTCCAGCGCCGTCCAGAATCACCGTCGACCAACTCTCCCTTCCACTCCTCCCTCTCTTCTCTTCTCTCCTCTGCGACTTTGACCGCTGCGAGGGTGGAGAGAGATGACGCGCGCCGCCGTTGCATGCCACCATGGATCTGGAATAGGGTGTCGCCGCCGCCCGCCGCAGATGAGGCGCCCCGCCGTTGCATGCCGTCGTGGATCTCGGATAGGGTACCGCCGCAGACAACGACATGACATAGCCAATATCGTGAACGGCAGGAGCAGATCTAGATCCCGCCTTGGTAAATCCATTATGTTTTTGTTTAATTAAAATGTTTTGTATGCTTTTGCCAATCGGTGATTTTGTTTTTGGTTGGTTTTCTGAGTTTGGTCGGCGATGAGAAGAGAACGGAGAGAGGGGAAGGTGATGGATTCCAGTGGCCGGCGAGAGGCCCCTGTTGGCGGCAGTGCATGGACGGCAGGGGATGGCAAAGGCAACGAGGAAGGACTTTGGAAGAAGAAGAGGAGGATTTTTGGTCTGGGCTAGGGTTTTAGTGGTAGACTAGAAATAATGGGCTTGGGTTGTATGTGTTTGTGGGCTTCTAATTATTGGCTGTGTGTGTTAGAGTGGGCTTGTAATTGTGGGCTGTGTGTGGGAGCCTGGGAGTGGGAGGGGGATGAATTTCGGTTTGTTCGGTCGGAATTCGGAATATCGGGTTCGGTCGAGCGACCCTGGTTTCCGAAGTATAGAGTTTTGCCTTCCGAATTTCGAACCGAGTTACAATAGTTCGGTTTCGGTTCGGTTTCGTTCGGTTTCGGTTCGGGTTTACCGAACCGGATGCCCACCCCTACGAGAAGGCGACCCTCCCTCCTCTGCTCGACGACCGGAGACCCTGCCTCCTCTGCTCGACGGCCGGCGGTCCTCCCTCCTCTGTTCGACGACCGGCGATCGTCTCCGGCACCGGCTCAAGAAGAAAACGACCGGCGACCAGGGCACGCCTCAAGAAGAAACCTCCTCTGCTCCGCCTCTATTCCGCCGCTGCTCTGCCACTCTTCTCCGCCGCGTCTCCCTAGTCCCTCCCCTGCTCAAGAAGAACACGGCGGCAGCAGGTATGGCTATCCAAACTTGCTCACCGATTCTTCTGAAATGGTTATCATTGTAACGATCAATCGCCGGGACAGCTGGGTTTGGGGCTTCTTTTGAGTTTGTGGGCTTGTCTGGCTCCATTTAAATGTTTACGGAAAAATTCCACAGTCAGGTAGCTAGACTCCATGTCCACAAGTCGAAGAACTGTTTTTCTGCTATCATCACGGAATCTTTCCAAGGATTCATTAGCAGCAGCAATGTCAGATTGGAGTTAATCAACTTTAGGTCATACGGGAGGGATCATTCATGCAATGAGTGAGAAGTAATTCTAAGGAGGTCAGAGAACCTAAAAATTTTCAGATCATAATGGTTCAAATCGACATAATGTTCATAACACTATTATCATCATAGTGTTACAGCTTGTTGTTTTGTGTAATTCTAGATAAATCTAGATGATCTTTCTGTTTCGAGTAATTCTAGATAAATCCATCTTGTTGTTTTGTGTCACAGCTTGGACTTGCCTACTTAGAGTGTTAATGATGTCCAATAATCACGTCCACTTCCATGATCTGCTTCATTTATTGGTTCTCTAACTAATATTGGTTCTTCTAACCCTTTATTCTAATGAGAATTTTGACTGTTTTGACAGCAATGGCTAGTGGAAAAGAAGCCGGATCGGTTGATAAAGGAGCAACTGCTAGTAATCCGAAGGTTACCGCAAAGGGTGTACGAAGCAAAAGTGATCCAACTTGGGCTCATTGTTCCTTGCATCAGGATGGAAAAGTGGAGGTACTCACTTGTCTCTATTGTCAAAAAGAATTTAGAGGTGGAGGAATCACTAGAATGAAAAAACATCTAGCTGGTGTTAGTGGGGATAATGCAATATGCCCAAGTGTTCCGGAAGAGGTGAGCGAAAACATGCAGAAGCTATTGAAGTCTTATGACACTAGTAAAAAGAAATCTGAAGTTGTCAAAGCTGGATTTAAAGAACCTCGTGATACAAATTCTTCTAGTGCACAAGATGATAATAGTGCTAAAAGAGTTGCTCCTAATTTGTCTACGGGCTCGGTTGACACTTTCTTTGCTCCACGGTCATCTTCCGGTAGTCAACCGGGAAAAGAGTGCATTAGCAACTAAAGAAGCTGTATTGTATGTGGATCGAGCATGGGCTAGATGGTTCTATGATGCATGTGTTCCTTTAGAAGCAATTAAATCTCCACAATTTAAAATAGCATTGGATGCTTCTATGACTCTTGGTCCTGGTTATGGCGGTCCTACATATTATGCTTTGAGGTTTACTTTTATTCCGGTATTATTCCGAGACGGTATCACAAATCTGCCGGTACGATTTTTTCACAAAAAAATATTATTTATTTACAAAAATGGTATTTTGCCGGTACACAACGATTGAACCACGGTAGTACCACAAAATACCCTACCACTGGCGGAGCCGGTATGACTTCCGGTACGGTTTCCTTTACAATGGTTTAATAAGATATTTTTTATTTAAACAAATGTGGTATATGTTACTTTCTATTTTCTTATTTATATTTTTTTTATTAAACAAAAAAATTATTATTTATGTGTGTTTGGTTAAGTTTATCAACATGTAACCTACTTTTAAAGCAAAAAAAAAAGGTTAAAAGAAATGGAAATATTAAAGAAGAGAGAGGTAGCTCCATAAATACATTAATAACTAATTTTTTTTGTTTGTAAAAAAAGTTGTCCAACTTGGCAAATTGTGGATCCTCCAAGTGCTTATGTGACAAGAAATTGCTTTTGAATTGCCATAATATATAGTATAGATAGATAGATTCTTACCGTCGGTAAGAGTGTGAAATGGTTTGGTCCATACTGAACCATATCGTACCAAACCCCTACAAAAACACATATTGCTTGGTCCAATGAATTTTATGAAAACTGAAAAGATTGATCAAATTGACACTTTAAACAGATCAAACGGGATCAAATGCAATGTTATTTCGATACTTGGTTCGAAGATGTCTTTCGTTGTTGAACCAAAATTCTCATGAATTTGATCCGGTTCGGACTGTTGCACACCCTAACTGCCGCGGAGCGCGGGCCAGAAACGCGAAGGTGCATGATAAATTTCCTACAGCCCATGCAGATGGATGTGGTTCATCCTTTTTGTTTATCTGAAGCGTCGATTTGGATGGGTGTACCGTAACACACTTGCAAACCAAGCCTTATCCCCCATCAACCGCAATGGGGTTCGGAGGGGAGCCGGAGGATGGAAGCTGAAGTGCGTTTTCCAATTGTCGAGATTTCTCCTCATCAAGCATAGTGGGATTTGCAGGGGAGCCATAGAATTGAAGCACCAAGCCTTCTCCCCATCTCAACCATTAATCCTCCCATCTCTAGCGACTTTTTTAAACATCGCCAGTAGACTCGGGTTGCGAAATTTGGATTTGTCTTTCCCTGCCTAAAATCAAGCTTTGTTGGGTTCGATTACTTATTTCTATAGCAATCGTATATAGCGTTTTTCGCAACGGCCATCGGATTTGTGTTTCCCCTTCCAAATCAAGCTTTATTGGTGATTGAAGAAGATATTCGGAGATTATTAGATCGATTTTGATGAGACCAGATCAGGTCAGTATCCTTCCTATCAGTAACTGTCAGTAACTCAATCATCTGTCCTCACGTGTCAGCTTTTTCCTTTTATTTAAATTAAATACGGAGGGGCACTAAGGTAAATTGCACCTCATATTTAATGTTGACGCTGACTTTTTGACCAGACGCGGATCTCATTCCCCCTACTGGTTCCCCTCTCTCACTCTTTGTTTAATTTTATTATTTAAAAAAAAATATATTATTTTTTCTCTCTCCCATCTACAACAAAAATGAATCTAACCATCCTAGCAATTTCTATTCTAATTCCAACTCAAATTGAATGATGATTTTTTCGTTAAATAATTCAGTGCTAAAGACACTATTACAAGTATAAATATGATTATCACTTTATACTATCATGGTAAAATATGATGAAGAAAATTATAAATCTAACTACCATACAATACCACATGGTAAAATATGTTGAAGAAAATTACAAATCTAACTATCCTACAATACCACATGGTATAACGTGGTAAAACTTGTTACAGAAATTTACAAATCTAATTACCATACCATACCATATGGTATAACATGCTAAAATAAAATTACAAATCAAACTACCACCACGTGGTATAACTTGGTAAACCACGCTACAGAAAATTATAAATCTAACTAGCATAGAATACCACCATAGTAGAACATGGTAAATCAAAGGACCACAAATTAATTATAATTACCATATAATACCACATGGTATGAGAAGGTACACCCATATAAATCTAATTACAACCCTCTACGACCATAGTAAAAACATGATATTCATAAAAATACATTTTGTTAGCACACATTACCATATGGTATAGTGTGGTAATCTCAATATATATATACAATTACGACTTTCTTCACTTTCTTCTCTCCCTTCATTGTCTTCTAACTCTTCTTTCTCGGAACTGGTGTCGATTACCACCCACTACCACCATGTTAAAACTCGTAACTATAAAAATTTATTTAGTTAGCACACATTACCATATGGTATAGTGTGATAATATCAATATATATTCTCAAAGAAAGGGAAAACAGAAGGAGGAAGTGAAAAAAAAAACTCGTTTTCTGTCTCATCTCATTTACTCCTCCACAATCAAGAACACCAAATGTAAAAAGAAAGAAAAAAGAGGAGGAAGATTGGAATTGAAAATTCACAAACAAATACTAAAACACAAAAGATGCAAACTCGACTCACCTAGATCTGTCCCCTCTTTGACAAAATGGAGCGTCATCGATTTTGAGGCCAAGAAAAGAAAAAACAGAAGTAAGGAGCAGTTTGAGAGAAGAAGGATTTGGAGCGTCACCGGATTTGAGGTTGGAGGCTGCAATTTCTTTGTCCATTATTGAAGGAAAAAAATGAAGAACAAGAGAATAAAGGAGATTTAGATCTGGAAAAAAGAGAGAAGGAAGAGAGAAAAAGAAAAGAGAGAGGAAGAGAGAAGTTTGTTTTCTCTTTCCTCCATTAAAAGACAGCATATAAATGCTGGAAAAAATAAAAAAAGGAAAGAAAGAAAATTTCAAAAATCTGACAAAAATATCCCTCTTCGCTCAGCGTGCAGCCCAACTGAACGATTATTTTCCTCCTAGATCTACGATCCCGGTTTAATTACTGACTCTATCCTAGGCCGATTTTGATTACTTCTTCATCGGTCGCTCGACCACCAATTTACGATTCTGGATTTCCAATAGAAAGTTGGGATTATTGGAGTTGGGCTTTGTAGAATTTCGTAGGGAAAGGAATACAGGTTTAATTTGGTTTTAGGTCGTTTGGGTTCGAGTACAAGAGATGGTCGCCTATTGGCATATAGAACACACAATTCTGCTGCATTTGAGCTTTTAACAATGAAGATGGAACTCAAGGATCAGTGGTGAAGCTAGGTTGAAGGCAGAAGAGGATATAGCCCACTACACTTTAATATATGTAGACTTTTTAGTAAAATTTGTTTAAATTTAGGAAATAGAGTAGTAGGCAAGACCTTAGACCCATCTCCGATTACTACCGTTCAAATTAGCCACCTTTTAGATTTATGGCTCCACCACTGTCAATGATACATGTTTGCATCCTCAATCTTCTTAATTTTAAAGAGTGGTTGTGGTTCCTCAAAAGCTACTACGTTCTTTTTTATTTTTAGGATCCATTCCTTTGTTGGATACTTATTTAAACTTGACAACGACTCTTTTTTAGCTTCTTTGGTTGGTTCATTCATTTTACCATCGATGCTTAGTCTCAGCTAGCATCTTACTCTCTTTTAGCAGTATAGATATGGTAATGTTATTATGTTTCTTGTGCCTCTTTTATTAGTTAATTACCGAAAAGGTATTGAAGCCAGAATGACTTCAAATTTTATTAAGAAATTGAAACTATAACAAAAGCTTTCATTAGTGTTTACATTATAACAAAGCTTCAGTTGAAGCAAGTAGCGACATGATGAGGAAAATTCTGCTATAGTACTCTGGTCTCGCTACAACCGTGTCTCTACAAGTTCAATGTAGATGCAAGGTGTTCATATTGACAAGTGTGACTCTAAGATGAGAATATCTATAGGATGATACGAGTGTGTTCGGATTGTGCAGTAGTGTCTAAGAGATTGAGCTATCATGATGAAGATGATATGTAGCAGAAAACTAGAGGTTGAACTAGGCTTCCTTTAACCCAGTTCTACCTTAGGATAAG